TGGATGAAGATGCAGCTGTTAATTTTAGATCATGATTTAAACTAAGGCATCCATATGGTGGATGAAGATGCAGCTGTTAATTTTAGATCATGATTTAAACTAATGGCGTCCATATGGTGAATGAAGATGCAGCTGCTAATTTTAGATCATGATTTAAACTAATACATCCATATGGTGAATGAAGATGCAGCTGTTTATTTTAGATCATGATTTAAACTAATGCATCCATATTTGAGAATTTTTTTTCAGTTGATGAGGATAACATACTGTGACTGCTTTTTCTACTTGACTAGCATTTTTCTCTTTCTATCTAACAGTACTAACTTTTCAAACATCTTTTATTTACAGTGAGGCATCTATCAAAATATGGAAACCTGTTGCTGTTCCCCTGACTCCCCAGCCTCAATCTTGTTCTGGTTCCCGTGTGTTTGATTTCAGTCTCTGATACCATGATCTAAAATATTTCTTTTAATAATTAGGTATTGTTGTGTTGTTATGATGCATGTTGCTTGGAATGTTTCTGTATTCTTTGCTCATGATCTTGAAAGTTAGATGTTTATGTTCATGGAGATACATATTAGAAATTACTCCGACAAATTGAGAAAATATATTACAACCACCAAGATATTAATATACATGCCATCTTATTATTTGGACTGCTTTAACCCCCTTCTGCTGACTTTGTACATTGTATAGTGTGAAAGAACTTGGGCATAGAATATACATACAGACATTTTTGAAAAATTGACTTGTAATGATGCTGAGAGTATTAACGGAGCTTGACTGTTTCCCCTATAACTTTTGTATGGTATGGTTTGTATTTAGTTTATTTTTTATTTTGTTAATTAAGTGGACAATCTCTTTCTGCTTTTCCTTTTTATTTTAACATTTTTTTTCCGTTTTTATTTTTTAATTAGTGATAGTACTGTGAGGTTGTGGCACTTGCGTACCTTGCCGGAAATGAGTGATTTTGAAGATGAGAGACTTTAACAAAACATGCAAAGAATACCCCAAGCAAGATTCAATTACTAGAGAAGCTACTAATTTTCCTGTGGGAACAAAGAAGAATCTAAAGTTGCACTTGGCTTCTTCAATAAAAGTCAAAGTGTAAAATGTATAAATCATGATGAGGGATGGTGTAAACCAAATAGTGTGTGGGACTAGTGCAGTTAAACTGGACATTATTATTTAAAAAAAGCATTTGACTGTACATATGAAGAACATAATACACCTGTATGAAAGATGATGTTTCTATTTTTGTTTTCCTTTTAAAAATGAGTGAAAAAAAAAAGTTCATTTTTAAGATTATATGAAGTGTGTGTGTGTTTAAGAAACGCTATTGGTTTTCACACGTTCCATAAAAAAATTTACATTATAGTGGGAATGTAACTGAGGGTTGTCTGGTAAGAAGCTACTTTTTCAAATGTTTTATTTCTTGCTTTAAGCTATTACAGTTACGATAATGTGAATTTCCAGAATTTTAAGCATTAACACTTTGTGTACACAATATTTCTTCAGAGTGGATATTTTGTTCCTAGCATAGAAAAATAAGCTAAAACTAATGTAATTAACATACATAGAATTCTGAGGAGTTTGGCAAGATATTATTCATATGTCCTCTGTTATCAATATGAAATTTAGGAATATTGAAAAGAGTAGGTCTTCATGATTTCCCTCTGGAATATAGACTTAATTATTTAAAATTCCAAATTCAGAAGCTGCATTCTACTTTGCCTTAAATTTGAATACTAAGTAATGCTAATTTTTAACAATTAAATTTTTTTAATTTTCTTTGAGATATAAGCTATTGTTATTCCCAAAACTTCAAAATTAAATTTCTGTTCTTATGAAGCAGAAGACACAGTTTGAGTATCATAAAATTCTAATCACCAATTTCTTGTAATCTATGGCAAAATTATAATTTTTTACTAATCCATAGACTAGTTAGTGAAATCATTGGTTAAACTGACTAAAAGTCAGGGTTAAGAGTAAAAATATAATTGATAGTGTTTTCCTATGATTCTTTTTCCCTGATGATACGTTAACTCAGTTAAAACAATTTTATCTTGACCCTGAAATTTAGCCATGTTTAACTCTCAGTTTATTGTAAAGAATGTCTCAAGTTTCATTGCACTTATATTTTTTGTGGTAATACTAAAGGTATTAACAAATTTCATGTTCAAACAAGATATGATGTTAGAAGTTGTAGATTTATTTAAGTTACTTTGAAACTTTTTTTATTGAGCAGGGTTCAAATTTTCCAACACAAGCAATTTTTACACATGATTGTACTAGCAGAAAATGTTATGAAATTCCTTGGTGGTGGAATTTCATGATATTATGGCCAGAAATATTGTTAACAGGAAGATTACCCACCGAATGAAACAATTAATTCTAATCTTTTTTAAGTAGAAATGTAAGAGAAGTTTATGTAATCAGCTATACTAATGGCCAGGTTGATTTTTAATTTTGCTTTTAGTACATAGCTTGCTCTGATTGAAAGTTATTATTAATAAACTAATACTTAAATGACAAAATTTCTGAGGGTATTTTAGCATAGCTACCAATAAACAAAACAGTCAAAAAAGTACTTTCAAAGTATAAATGTATTATAAAAGCCATCACCAAGTTTCCAATAGTGAAATGCATAATTCGTCCAAATATATTTCCAGGACACAATTTTAAGAGAAATTGGAATAATACCAATTATTTCTGGCAACAATAAAAAAAAAAAAAATCTTTAATCTTTCTTTGTTGCCCATCATATCTTCATATTCAGCAAATATTTTATTGCAATATAAGGTATAGTTTCAGCTTGTGTATTTTAGGAATGATACCAAAGTTTATTTTTGATGATAACAAATTTATGAATTAAGTAAAAGTATTCAACAACAATGTTCTAGCTGCATAAAAATTCATGAATCTTTAGCATTTACAGTAAGAGCTTATGTGCACTTTGCACAATTTGAACTCTGTTCCTTCATTTTAAATCAAATTCCAAAAACTTAGACTAATGGTTTTGGTTAATTTTAAGTAGGTAATAGTCACTTATCAGTATCAGGTTTGGATTAGGTGCACAAGTTTGAAGTTAAGAACACATTCCATGATATAGCAGTACAATTTTTAATATGTTGCCTTAAAACAGTAAACAAATTTATATTTGTAAGAAAATATTTGTTAAAATATAAACCGTTTTTTATGTTTAAATGTTCTTTTAACATATTCCAGGAAATACCAAGTTTTTTATTCCTTTTATAGATATTTTAAAATGGTTAAGAAATAAATCGATATCTGTAAAAAACATTCCAGTCATTCTTTGAATATATGTGGCTCTGAAATTATGACCTAGCTAATCCAAAATTTTCTTGTAACAATAGTCTTAATCAAGTATGAATTTTATAGGTTACATTTCATGGACTCTGCACAGAGGTGGTTGTATTCCCAGACTATTAGTTCAAATTTTTCAAAAGAACTTTTATTGTGTGTACTGTTTGTTTTCAGTGCAGTTGACATTATAAATATGTTTTAGAAAGAACCTTGAATATTTTAATGGTATTAAGGGTTTCTAATGTGATAATTTAAAATATTTTGTTTTGTGCAACAAGTTGACTTGTTATTCAATAGATAAAACATTGTTTGGAGCTGTGGTTGTGAAGATGTGATTCTTTAATTTTAGTTTGTACTCTAAATAATAGTAGTAAGATTTAAGATTGCCCTTATAAACAATTCTATATTGTACATATACACAATACATATACTTTGACCTTGAGTTCTTAAAACTCATGTCAAATGCAGGAGTTACTTTTTTCTTCTTCTGTGAGAATTGTAATAAATGATACAAAAATATAATTTACATTTTAGGTATTGAGTTTAAGGTAAATTTCTGGGAATAAGTTTTATTTTGATGAAAGTGAGTAATACAGCATTTTAGATGATACACAAATAGGTAAAATCATTATGAAATTAAGTAAATGTATTTAAGATACAACCTTTCAGGTGGAAACCACTTATATATAAAATTAAGGTACATTCTGTCTGTAGTTAGTATGAATAATACACATGTATATTACGACTGTATAATTTTGTCTCTCTTTACTGCAGTATATATATTTATACCCTCAAGTACATATAGCAAGGAATTAAACAGCTTCTGACTATCTTATCTATTAATGGTCAATAGTAATGTAGTGGAAATAGAAAAATCCATTCTGATACATAATATAGTATTAATACATTTACCATGAAAAGTGATTTCTTAAAATGCAACAAAAGTTGCCAATAAGATTATCTTCTAAGATAAACAGTTACCTACCATTGTGTTTCTCTGAAATGACCACTTCCTGCAACTCCTATGGACTTCATGCAATTGCTTTACAGTTGTTTCTGACAAGTCAAAATGCGAGAGGGTACGTGTAAACTATTATTATTTTTGCATTTAAAAGTGTGGTCAATCTGTAGAAGTCCGACAACTTGTATTTGATAGATTTTTACTACAGTATAAGTAATAAAGAATTTTATGGACAAGATTTAATCAGAAACAGTAACTATTTAACAGGTTAGAATAGTGGGTATCTTTGTAAAAAAATGTGATAATTCATTTGCAGTTTTGGTAAAAAAAAAATTGTTGAGCTATGGGTAGTTTTCTTTTAAGAGTTGTATAGCAATCAATATTTAATACACTTTATACAAAGAAAAAGGTTGTGAAGGTTGTTTTAAGCTTTTTTGTAAAAGTGACAAGTGATTAATAGATAAAACTCATTTCTTTTATCTTCAAACTTCACATCCTGTGTATATTGACACTTCTGAAGTAAAACCAACTGTGGTGTTTGATTTTATTACTGGATTTTGATCTATGAGATATAATGTAATAATTAAAATACTGTCACTTTACTACAGACAAAGTATACCTAAAAAAATAACCTTAGAGCCCAGGTTGTTATAGTCCAGGTTATTATTTGTTTATCAGATACAAATGTTTCCATTTCCCTTCTTCAAAATAATAAAGAACAAAGCTTTATGCAAAAAGTTGTTCTAAATGCTGGTTCAGTGTTTTCATGTGTACATTAATATGCCAAACTAGTTATGTACAATAGGAAGAGTAAAGGCTGCAGTTTGTGTGTTTATAATTCTGTGATTAAAAACAATTAAAGGTCAAAACTATATACATTTAGACTTAAAGATTTTATTTTTAGGTGAGTTATTATATTTGGTTAATCTCACATTTTGTGCATATAATAATTGCTCATTAAGTTTAAAAATAAAATTTGTTTTAAACAGCATTTAGAAAGTGCTAAGATTAAAACTTTTTTCATATGTGTTATGTCACAGGAGTTGATAAACACATTGTACATTAAGGTTTATCCACTCTGGGACTGACTTAGTGGAAGTTCTTTTAAATTATATAAAATATGGTAAAATGGCTTATTATGTAAACAGTTCGAGCACCCCTGAGGAAGCTGATTATTACAATGCTGAATTAAATCTTCCAGTTCGTTTTTACACAGCTTGGGAAGGGATTTTCTGGCAATTCTAACAGCTTCTCCCTAGTAAAAAACAATTATCTATAATAGTTATTTAGCCAAAATTTTTCAAAATTAAAATTTTTTATACTTGTCCTACCTGGTTTAATGAGCTGTGGTACCAAATGGATAATGGAGGAGAGACACTACAATTACGGCAAAACCTCCGTTTCATACCTGAAGAGACTACTAACTCAATAAGAATTAACAAAAAGTACTGAATAACCAAATATTAGTAAAACACACAAGCTTTGCACTATGTCATTCTATTTGTTTTTGCTTCTTCTGCTATTGTTGATAATTTAAATTCTGCCTGCATAATCAGAATGAATTTTCCTTCTTTCACAACTTGTATGCTGAAAATGAGCCAACATGACTACCACGCACTAGTCAGGAGCAGAATGTGTCTTATCATCTAACAAATATTAGGTAGTGGGTGTATATGTGAGGAAAAATAATCCACAAGCAAGATGGATTTTCTATACTGGCAACAAGGCCACAACAAAAAAGTAAACAAAGGATCTCTCCATCTCCAATGATAATATAAGGATATTACCAGGGTTACATTTCAAAACTAGTGGTTTTACTAGTATGAAAATTGACCAATTCATTGATTATGCTCCATCAGCTTAAGTGTTCTATACTATAACACAGCATTTTAACAGTAGGTTTATATTACCATTATACATTTATCCAATACTGTCTTTCATGAAATAAGCATCATTAAGCTTAAGTTATTTAACAAACTGTACTTTCCACTTGAAACAAGATTCAACTATTAAGACTTTTATTTTTTATAATAAATTTAGTCTTCACTACTCTCATGGAATTTTGAATTTTACTTATGGATCAAAGCATAAGATTTTAAAACTACACAGTGTTCACCAAACAAAATAGGTAAGATATCAAGACACACTGTGTGTTAGTTTAGCAATATTCCACTTTCTGTAGTTCAGACTGTGGTAATCCAAACTATCACATTTTTAGTGAATTGTGCTCTACTGGACCCTTACTTCACATACCAAATTTCAAGGCAATCCATTAAGAAATACATGAGATATAAAATCTCTAATTTTGATTGAATTCCTTTGCACTGAAAGTATGGAAACTATTTGATTGAAAAATATACTTTACTTTTATGGATGTTTTTACTAATAGATCTTTACATCCAACAATTAGGTATCAAATTTGGTGTAAAGCAACAAAAACTGCTCAATTTTGACCACAATTTTTGTGCACATCTATACAAAATGTCACATGAACTATCGGCCTGAAATTTTTGCTACAGCTTAAAGTAAAGGAAGACCATTTTTGTCATTCGAATTATGATGGCTAATTTGAAGCACCAAACTATAGGGTAAAAGCATGTGCAGATACATAAGTAATGGTTAGGCCAAGCAAACTAGATTAGCAGTTTCTAGCTCAAGTTTTCAAAAGATTCATACAGGTGGACAAATATTATTCATTGCCAACTTTTAAACACAATTTGCTAAATTTTACAAAATTCTCCTAATTAAAGAGTGTTTAGTGTCACATGATGTTAGATGTGGCTGTACCAAGTGCATGCAGGTGATGACAAGAAACTGTTAATCTAGTTTCCATGGCATTAGTATAAAGGAAGTTATTAATAATACTGTTTTAAAGAAGAAAAACTGCCACCATATATTTTAAAGAATCTGGTTGGTTCTGAATAATAGGATTGTAATCTTAAAGCTAATGTTGGTTACTATTAAGTGTCACTTTCTTACTTGCTGTGGTTTGTCAGTGTGTATTGACAAAAAGTGATGATATCTAATCAAAAACAATTTAGGTGTGAAAGAAAAAGGTGCGACTTAAAGGAATAAAATCAAAATTGGCAGCCAAACTTATAGCATTAATAAGAATTTTATAGCAAATATTCATTCATTAGTTAGCTAGGCCGCATATTTTGTTTTACCCATCAACAAAAAATGCAGCCTGACTAACTAATGAATGAATATTTGCTGTAACATTCTTATCAATGCTATAAGTATTAAAGTAAAATAATCTTAAGAGACCTTGGGCATGGTCAAATACATCAATTGAAAGGGTTTGACCTTCTGAGTCCAAAACTTTAATTAGATCAAGAGATGATGGATCTATGAACTAAAAGTATGTACTGAAAAAAAAAGTTAAGAGCCACGGCTAAAAAATAGGGTTAATTTTACCAACACTTCAAGTCTTCGACTGCAAAAATGTGTAACACCCAAGTTCTAAATTTCTTGTATTTTTATTAACAATTTTTATCCAATGTTATAAAAGTAACTAACATGTAAAAAATTAGAAACTTCAAAGGTTAAATAATAAATTGATTTCTCCACAAGATATACATGCAAAGAACTCTTGCATTAGGTAATTTGATACTATAATTTGATCTATGCATGCACAGGCTGATTTCTAGTTTATTATGGAAATTTAATAGTTAGTTCAAAGAATAAGATTAATAAAAACAGATGTAAACTGTTACAAGCCTGAAGCAGTTTAGAATAAGGAATCTTATGTTTTAATCTGCAGTCATTCTAGAAAGGGGAATTAGACTTTCATATTTTTCATGGACCAAGCTCATATAATATTAAATCTTTAGTGAAAAACAAAAACTTATTCATTTAGAAGGTTCTAAAGGTTATTAATCTTAGTATGAAAATCACCTTGCACTTCAAACTTTGATTCCATAAATTTACAGACAAATCTTTAATTAAAAACTCTGTTTTTTTATACTGAAGACTTCTAATGTTTTCTAAAAGCTTGCTAAATTTCTTGAAGATACTATAATTTTTAATGCAGGAAATGTATGTATAGTTTCATGGTTTCAAGGTTGGTCAAAATGATCAAGGCCATATACAGGATTAAGGGTTAAAAGAAGTATGTACATCTTACAAGAATCAACATTGCAGGCCATATATAAAGACAGAATTATTACTTACTTGAAAGAAATGAAGAACTTGTTGTGGACGACATTGACTGGGAGAAAAGGAACTTTCTGATTGTTTGTTTATCAGTTGAAGGATCTCTTTCAAGTCTGTAATGCCATAAAATGGTAAAGAAGTGGCCAAGTGGGTGATTTCAGCCTGCAATTCTCCTGAACCTAAAATGTGTCATACTTTTAAAATAACTAAACCCAAAGAAACTACATTTTAAAACATCAGTACAAAATAAATTACAATTTGTAACTTTAACAAAAAGAATTATTCAAGTTATAAGATCTACCACTGAACAATATATAGTTTTGGCACTGTACATATTTTCTACCAAGCAAGGTTTTACATTTTATGACATCATCCATTTTGTTGGCCTCTACTTAATGTATCACATATTCTCATAACATTGTTACCCACATTCGATAACAATGCACGTAAAATTTCTGAAACACAACACAATTGTTTGATGTTACTAAGCAATTCTTATTCCAGTAGTTAAAAATGCTAATGGCTCAGTCACTAGAACACTTGCCAGATGTTCAAGAGGCCACCTCAAACTTTGAGGATAGGCCTTGTTTGTGACAGGGAAAGAATGTAGTAGTTTCAATAGCTAAAAATGCCTTACTAACAAGCACTAGGAGGCTAGCCTTGTAGGTCAGCAGAACACTCTACCATGTGGTCAGTCTCAGGGTCAAATCTGAAGTGAGCAAATATCTTGTGAAAATATGCCACACCACCAACTGTGATGTACCCTCATTATTACGAATAGTAGATAAAAAGAATCCCCATTAAACCATGATGAGGCTCTGATGTCATGTAGAATGAAACTGCTCTCTTGTGATTCTAATATGAATGAAACTTACAAACATGAAAATGCAACAAAAAAGTTTTCTTAAAGGGCAACTGAAATTACACATAAAATACTTTCACAAAGAAACAATTGAAAAAAAAACACTTTAAATCTTTTCAAGATCTGTTTCTAATTATAATAAATCAACACCAAAAAAAAAAAAAAAAAGACCAGCAACAGCTATGAAATCAATAGTTCACTAATGGTCATAAGAAGTTATAAAGACACAAGTGTGCTCAAGGAAAGCTTTCAAAGAACAATTGGACATAAAGAAATCTGGAAAGTGTCAAATAATTTACTGGAAATTATTATTGTTGATACTGTCAAAATTCTGTACATCTAGCATAGATTTCCAAAGCACCATTCATACAAGTATTTAACATGAGATTAATGTTATACTAAAATGCATTTATCATTAGCTGGAGAATCCTTGTCAAGACATAATTAATTTGAATTTTTTTTAAGTCTCTCCCCTACACACAAATATTTAACTGTTTCTTTGCTTGTTTTTAGTGCAAAGCTACACAATAGGCTATCTTAAGTTCTGCCCATCGTAGGGAATAAAACCCCAGTATTTAGCAAATTAAGTTTTCAAACATATCACTGGGGGACATTTAACATGGTATGAATGATATCCTAAAAGATATTATTATTAAGCAGTGAAAATGTATCTACTCTATCAGCCATTATCTCAGTAAGGATATCAATTAGCTAAGATATAGTATAAAATATTTTTCTGGGAGAAATTCATTTCTACAGAGTTCCAAGATCAACATTTATGTCTTATAATAATATCACAGACATATTAAACCATCATGGAAAATTCTTTTCAATAGTACAAATGAGAAAAAAACCCTGAAAAACAAACAAATTATACATCAGTTGGTATTTTTATTTTGTTCAATGATATATAATGGTACTTACTAGTAAAAGTCCTAATATGGAAACCATTCTTAGTTAATCGATCATCTGTAATTAATTTGTAGGAGTCCAACATACTGTCAAGCTGTTTCAGCTTTAGTAATAGTTGCCACAACCATTCATCACCAATGATACTGTAGAGTAAGAAGAAAATAACACTGAAAATTAAAGAAATATGTCATGCAATGTTTGATTGTTAGACCTAATGCTTATTTTTCTCAACTGTTTCATTCTCATTGTTGTAAATAAATAGAAAATCACTGAAATATTTATTGACAACAGAAATGTATAAATGTTAATATTTTTTTCCACATTTTTGATAACCAATTATTATATGAATAAAATAAACAAAGCATAATGAGGGAAAGTTTAACTTTATTACATCAATCAAGTGTAGAGAATATCAACTTTTCAAATTTAGCTACAAAGAATAAATTTTTTTGACAATCTTGCACTTTCAATTATACTATTGAAAAGCAACTGTTTCTTAGATTGTACACTATCAAAAATATCATATTGAAAGCAAGGTGAAATGTGATGGGCAAGTTTTGCTGCATACGGAGAT